ATTCATGCAGAGTAGGAATAAGAATAGCCTGCTGGATCCCTCTTTTTGTGTATGTACGATATTTGCAGCTTTGCTCTCTGAAGCAGCATCCATATATTCACACGCACACCCCTTGTGACAGTGAGGACCACAAGGCCCTCACCTGCTCATGTTGCGTGCCTTTGTAGGATCTGGATATGGCAATCCCTCCTCTTTGCCTTTGCGGTCAAAATACAGATTGATTTGAAATGACTGAGAGTTTTGTGGCCCAAAGTAGCCAATAATATCTCTTTCCTTGGCAGAATCAGACCTCAGTTCCTGTTGGGAAGAAGGACAAGATCCATTCCTCCAGGTCCCCAAAGAAGGGGGAACCTCAACAGGTATGCGCTTACAGATAGGTAGCCGTGTTGGTCTGCCATAGTCAAAATAAAAAAATTCCTGCCAGTAGCACCTTAAAGACCAACTAAGTTAGTTCTTGGTATGAGCTTTCGTGTGCATGCACACTTCTTCAGATACATAAGGTATGCGCTTAGTCTTAGTTGTGTCGTGGGGCCCTTTTGCTCCAGTAATATAAATATTAATATTAATATAAATGTTTTTATTAATATTAATAAATAAATAATTTATACCCCCACCCATCTGGCTGGGTTTCCCCATCCACTCTGGGCGGCTCCCAACAGAATATTAAACACAATAAAACATCAAACATTAAAAACTTCCCTAAACAGATTTCTCCTAAAAGTCAGATAGTTGTTTATCTCCTTGACATCTGATGGGAGGGCGTTTCACAGGGAGGGTGCCAGCACCGAGAAGGCCCTCTGCCTGGTTCCCTGTAACCTCACTTCTCGCAGGGAGTGAACTGCCAGAAGGTCCTCGGCTCTGGACCTCAGTGCCTGGGCTGAACGATGGGGGTGGAGATGCTCCTTCAGGTATACTGGCCCAAGGAAGAGAAGTCCTGCTTCTGGGCTTCCTATCAGTATTTAGTTGGCCCCTGTGGGGCTCTTGGATTAAATGGACCAGGTGGACAAATGCAACCTTCAAACCTCTCCAACTGGCCCTTGGGACTCTCTTCTCCCCAGACCCTGACCTGCTTCCCATCTTCCTTGAGTGTTTTTGGTCTGGCTGGGTTGTTTCCTTGAAATCTGATGGGGCTTCTTGCCAGCCTGGATGGAGGGCAGAGAAGGGTGTGTGGAAGCTCTGCTCCTGTCTAAAGGTCGCATTTACATTTGTTGTAAATGCCTCTGGCCCCACAGTGTACAGGCAAGCCACTCTCAAGCCGCATAATGTTGCCCACACAGGGTCTTCTTCTAAAGAGCAGAGACGGCCTCCAGGCTGAGGTTTCCCTTCCATGTGCTGAGATGCACCCCAAATTAAAATGTCCTCTGTAGTGCCACTGAGCTGAGATCCTCTTCACGGGCGCCAGGGGGGTTCTGTTGGGCCCACGTGTCCCCTCTGCTATCCTCAGCAGGAGAGCTAAGATCTTGCCTTTCCCTGCTTTTGGGAAGAGAGCCATGGCAGTAGTAGCACTAGGAGTGTCTGGCTATTTTATATTTCGTCATTTGGGTTGAAGGATAATATCCAGTTGGAATGGGGCTCTGAGGAAGGGGAGAGATGAGCAGACACAGCTCAGCAAGTTTGAGGAGGAGCAGGAAGGGACTTGTGTTGGTGTCTTGAGACAACATATTCATAGTCAGAAGCATATTCAGAAGCTGACTTCAGATTCAGCTGCGCAGGGAAGGAAGGAGGGGGGCATGCTTGAAAATGGTAAACTCATCCATCACCCCTCACCCTTTGTGTTAGACTTCCAATCTACTCAATTGCAATTTCTTTGGATGGTGGATGGTGATGGGAATTATCTGTGGGATTGAGTGTAGGTATGTTGTAGGTATGTTGTATGTATGTAGGTATGTTGTATGAATTGTATGTTTGTATGTGTATTAATGTTGAATTATTTTAACAGTAAAAAAATTAAAAATTAAAAAAGGGGGGGAATGGTAAACTCAGAGAAGTGGAAAACTGGGCTCGATCCATGATGAGAGTCTCTGCTTCTGAGTTGTAATTTGAATGGCATTTTCTTTTTCTGCCTCAAAACAGGTAATGGGCAGAAAAGTGAGAATTATGGTGAGCCATCTGTGGTGTCTGTAGAAAATGTGGGGCATGGAGCACAGAAAGAGACATTTGTAAATCAACGATCACCTGAAAAGCATGTAGAAAATGTGTTGAAGAACTGGAAAACCAAATCCCTTACTACTCAGGACACTGATGTCCGTGTATCACTGAGTCCACAGGAAGAATGCACAGGAAGTAGCAGTGTGGAGTGTGGAAAGAGCTTCAGTCAGAGTGGAAGCATTAGTTTACATCAAAGAACCCAAGCAGGGGAGAAAGCGTTTCAATGCACAGAATGTGGAAAGAGCCTCAGTAGTGCTGGTAACCTTGTCAAGCATAAAAAAACCCACAGAGGGGAGAAACCATTCAAATGCATGGACTGTGGAAAGAGCTTCAGCCAGAGCGGAAACCTTATTGCACACCAAAGAATTCACACAGGGGAGAAACCATTTAAATGTATGGTGTGCAGAAAGAGTTTTAGTCTCAATCACCATCTTACTTTACATCAAAGAACCCACACAGGAGAAAAACCATTTAAGTGTGTAGAATGTGGAAAGAGCTTCAGCCAGAGTGGAAGCCTTATTGCACATCAAAAAACCCACACAGGCGAGAAGCCATTAAAAACTATGATTTGTGGAAAGAGCTTCAGTCTCTATCACCATCTCACTGTACCTCAAAAAACCCACACAGGGGAGAAACTGCATAAATGCATGGAGTGCGGAAAGAGTTTCACTTGTAGGAGTGCCCTTACAGAACATCAAAGAATCCACACAGGGGAGAAACCGTATGAATGCATAGATTGTGGAAAGCGCTTCCGTATTGGTAGTGTCCTTACTTTACATCAAAAAACCCACACCGGGGAGAAGCCATTTAAATGCACGGAGTGTGGAAAGAGCTTCAGTCAGAGTGGAAACCTTGCTGCACATCAAAGAATTCACACTGGGGAGAAACCATTTAAATGTATGGCATGTGGGAAGAGCTTCAGCCAGAGCGGAAGCCTTACTGCACATCAAAGAACCCACACAGCAGATAAATCATTTAAATGTGTGGTGTGTGGAAAGAGCTTCAGCCAGAGTGGAAACCTTACTTTACATCAAAGAACTCACACCAGGGAGAAACCATTTAAATGTATGGAGTGTGGAAAGAGCTTCAGCCAGAACGGAAACCTTATTGCGCATCGAAGAACCCACACAGGGGAGAAACCATTTCATTGTATGGTGTGTGCAAAGAGTTTCAGCCTGAATCACCACCTTACTTTACATCAAAGAACCCACTGCACATCGAAGAACCCTTACAGGCAAAAGACTCTTTAAATGTATGGTATGTGGAAAGAGCTTCAGTTGTAGGAGTGCACTGTTCAACCAAGAACCCACACGGGAGAAACTGTATGAATGCCTAGATTGTGGAAAGCACTTCCGTATTGGGGGTGTCCTTACCTTACATTAAAAAAACCCACGCCAAGGAGATACCATGAAAATGTATGGAGTGTGGAATGAGGTTCAGTGGGATTGGTGGCCTGACTTTGCACCTGAGAACTCACGCCAGATAACTAACTCTTAAGTGAATGAAATATGAGCAGCAAACTTACTTCACACAAAAGATTCCACAGGTGGAGTAACAGTCTAGAACAGAAATTCTGCTCCGGCGGCGCGGCAGCAGCAGGAGGCCCCATTAGCTAAAGTGGTGCTTCAGGTTTAGAACAGTTTCAGGTTAAGTACGGACCTCCGGAACGAATTAAGTACTTAACCTGAGGTACCACTGTACAGGTTAAAATGCAATTTAAAATCCAGCCTCATAGATCAAAACCATAAGGGGAGGGAAACATAAGGGTCAGACTGAGTCCAGACAATGTGTGGCTATCAATATTGCCACCTTCTGGGCACCAACGCAGCAAGCATGCACCGTGTTTACAAATGAGCTAAGATTTAAGAAGGGTGTGTATAAGAAATGGAAGAAAAGGGAAATCATGAAAGAAGAGTATATGCGAGGTCTGGCAGGCCAAAGCTCAGAATGAGCTCAGGCTCACAAGAGATTAAAATTAATAATAATATGACCTCTGAAAGAAAATGAAGAAATGCTATTGGGTGATACAGAGAAGGCGGAACTGCTCAACACCTACTTTGCCTGTCATCACCCAAAAGGAAAGCAGTGTTCAACATGGTGATAACAGAACCAACCCTGTTCCTTATGTGAGATGAGCTCAGTTTGTTGGAGATTCATTCCCCGTGTCTGCAGTCATGGGATTGTTGTCTATCACATGACGGTGTATGTTTTCATTCCACAGAGTGGAAAGTGATGGAGACAGGATGTTTGTGTTACTGTGTTCCGTAAAGTGGGACTATTGTCCTTTGTTCTTTCTCTTTGCTGTCTGATGAGAAAGAGGAAGGAGCTAAGCCAGAATGCTCCGAGTGTTTTATATGTAAATAAAGTCTATTAGCCAAAATGCTGAGTTGCTGAGGTCTGTTATGCAAACTGCAAAGACTCTCTGGATCCCAGAGTGTGCTGATGTCTGTTGGCATCAGTTGCTGTGATGTTCGGGCAGAAGAAAGCTTTTGAAGCTCCCGAACGATCGACCAGGAGGGAGAGAACATGCCAGTCGGGCATGTGTCTCTGCCAGGGTCCTACACGAGAGTAGGACGATCCTAACACAATTGCCCTTATGCTTCTCAGGTGTCCTATTGGCTTCATGTCAGCCTTGTGTTTGTCTGCTATCTTGGATGGGGGGGGCGTACCCACAAACATCTCCCTTGGCTTCCTTGAAACCTCTAAGGCAGTGTTTCCCAACCGGTGTTCCGCGGCACACGAGTGTGCCGTGAGACATCGGCTGGTGTGCCGCGAGATGCCTGGAGGGAGGCGGGCGAGTCGGGCGGCGAGAGGCGGGGCGGCGGCGGCGAGGAGCCGCTCGGCGCGCAAAGCGAGGGAGGCTGGAGCCAAGAGCAGCGGCGAGCAGGAGGCGCTTGGTGGGAGATTCAGCCGAGCCCGAGCTGCGTGCGCTCCCGAACCTCTGGGCGGAGAAGAGCGTGCGTGTGTCCGGCTTAGCGACGGATCCTCTCACCCGGCGCAGCAGAAGACAACCCTCGGGGCGGAGCTCCTGCCACAGGCCTCCCGCCTTCTTCCCCACGCGGGGCAGAATAAGTGGAAACCGGCGGACGCAGCGGGTTTCTCAGCCGCTGCCCGGGTTGCCCCTCTCTCCTACAGAGCCGCATCCATCCCAGCCCCTCCTGTCATCTCAACTTGCCCGTCTAATTTACATACCATCATATCCTCCTTTCTTATTGATTCACTTAGATTTAGTCTTACATTTCTCGCTTTGTCTCCGTAGACTGCGCGGAGGGAGAGCCAGAGAGAGGCATCGCTCCTGCGCGGCGGGAGAGGGAGCAGCCGGAGCGATGCCCCAAACGAGCTGAATTCCGAGCGAGGGACTGAGGGGGGAGGGAAAAAACTTTCACTTTCGTGCGTCCCTCCCGGCGTGACGCTGCGCGCTGACGTCACGGGGCGGGGCTTTAATGGTGGTGTGCCGCGAGATTTTTTTTCAGTAAACAGGTGTGCCGTTGCCCAAAAAAGTTTGGGAAACACTGCTCTAAGGAGTAATCCCAAAAGATCATTCAGTTGACCCACCTGTCCAAGGTCCTCTCTGCCCACACCTGGGCAAAGTTCCATAATCTGCCTCTTATTGGTAGTTAAAGGGGAGCTCCTTCCCTTCTTGGGGCCTTTGTTTAATCTGGACGTTAAGCCACTACCAGCTGGTGTGCGGGAACCTCTTTGGTTTGTCCCAGCAGGAGAGAAAGTATCAGGAGGAGTGAAAGGAACACTGGTTTTCCCTTCTTGCTGTCCTTCCTGGCACTCTGGAGAGCCTTCTGTTAGTCCCTGGTCTCCACCAGAACCTTCTCCAGAGGCACCTTGAAGAGATTGTTCCCACTGAAGAGAGATTTTGCAAACCACAGAGGCCCAAATGTTAAAATCAGTGGGTTCCCTAAAGCAGTGGTTTTCAACCAGTGTGTCATGGCACCCTGGGGTGCCTTGAATGATGCTCAGGGGTGCTGCAGGCAACACTGGCCTCTAGTCTTCTTTCTTTCTTTCTTTCCTTCCCTCCCTCCTCTTGTATCTCTGCCTCCCAAAGGCTGTTCTTTGCAACAGCCCTGGTTGCAAGCAATGTTGGTGAATGGTGCTTCTTGGGCTGGCCAGGGGGTGCTGGGTACCAGGAGCTGAGGGTAAGCAAGCAAGCAGTCAAGGCAGCTCATCCAGCCAATCCACCAGTCCTTGAGGTTGGGAATGGACAGACAAGTGGGAGACAGGCAGGCACCATCCTGGCCTTTCTTGTGCTTGCTGTGTACAAGGCTTGCTGGGAGCTGTGTGCCCGGTGCTGAAGGGGAGCCTTTCTGCCATGCAGGCCTAGCAGCACCCGCTGCTGCCTCCCAAGGTAAGATGCTGCCCTCATGTTCACCTTTGGCCAGTCTCTGTTGGGCCACTAAGACTGAGAGCATCTTCTTCCCAGGTCCCTGTGGGGCAGTGTGAGGAGGCACCTCTTTTGGGGGTGGGGGTGGGGGCAGACCAGAGACGGCAGCAGCAGCTGCCCAGAGGACTCCCAAGGTGAGGGGAGAGGAGGCTGAGGGGACACTCCACAAGGGAGGGTGTTCGAAAAGGGGTGAGAGGCTACCAGCTCTGCAGGCAGGGGGGGGCATAACTGGGCTCCTCAGCCCCACAGGGGAGCCACAGAAAGAAGGAAATTGGTCAAGGGAGCCAGGACTCAAAAGGTTGAAAAACTCTGGATTAATGCATTGCTACGAAATACAGTTTTTGAAAGCAAAAAGACTAAACCCTCGGGCTCAAGGGAAAGAAACACATTGCTTTGGACAATATATATGAATAATACAAATTGCTCAATTGTTGTATTAGTGTAGTTTTGTCTTTGTGGAAGCCGCCAAGAGTGGCTGGGGAAACCCAGCCAGATGGGCAGGGTTCAAATAATAATAATAAATAATAATAATAATAATAATAATAATAATAATATCACCCTGAGAAGTAAATGTTAATCTTCAATTCTTGTACGCGGAGTCTACTTCATCACTGAGGTTTGAGGGTGAAACTGCTAAAAAAGGTAAAGGTACCCCTGTCCGTACGGCCCAGTCGTGACCGACTCTGGGGTTGCGTGCTCATCTCACTTAAGAGGCTGGGAGCCAGCGCTGTCCAAAGACACTTCCGGGTCACGTGGCCAGCGTGACGAAGCTGCTCTGGCGAGCCAGCACCAGCACAGCACACGGAACGGCGTTTACCTTTCCGCTATAAAGCGGTACCTATTTATCTACTTGCACTTAGGGGTGTTTTCGAACTGCTAGGTGGGCAGGAGCTGGGACCGAACGATGGCAGCTCACCCTGCCGCGGGGATTCGAACCGCCGACCATGCGATCGGCAAGTCCTAGGCGCTGAGGTTTTACCCACAGCGCCACCCGTGTCCCATAACTCAAAATAACTCAAAAATAGCTACCATAAACACATGGAGTCGGTTTGATAGGGACTGTAACTCCAAGAAAAAAGAACTGACCAAATTAACCTGACCAGTTCAGTTTGCCTGATCAGATGAGGCCATTTCTCTTTTATAACTGCAACAGTGCGAGAGAAAGTGGTACATTATGAAAAGGATTTTAAAAATGCAACATTATGGAAAAGATAAAAAAAGGGAACATTATGAAAATAGTTGGAAATCTTTGGGTTTGGCCTCTTATTGAAGGGAATTAATTCAAATTTTGGAACCTAATTCATTGAGGTTTTGTAGATAAACCTTTTGAGTCTGTACCTTCAACAATACCTAAAATATGCAGATCCATCTGAATTCAGTCAAGTTCTTACCTGCCCACTCGACTGGGCATCTATACAGGTATTTTCCATTTGAAGGGGGGCAGTTAATCAATCCAGACATTAAGATTTATGTGCCAAAGATCATTGCCCAAAAGCTTTTCAGGGCTGAGGTTGGGGGAATTAGTATGAAATCAGAACTAGAAGGCAGATTTTGGGGCTTCCTCCTGGGATTCTGGCGGCTCATCTGAGTTGGGTCTCCCCTCAATAAGAGGCCAGAACTGATCTAGCCTATCTCAGATACTGACGTCGCTTTTTGAATTTTTATTTTATTAAAGATTTTATTGGGTTACAAAAGTACATACACCTCTGTTTTCATTTCATAAAGTCCTTTCTACAGATCAGTTATACTCGATGGGTCCTGATGGCCATCTTCCAAAAATAGGAACAAGAAACACCCCTCTCTTGCTGTATGTGGGTGATGCGGCAATCCTCTCCTGATCCAGACCTGACCTGAACTACCAAACTAAGGAAATTCTCAGACTACTGCTCTGGTAATGGGTTATCCATTAATTATGAAAAATCAAAAGTCCTGGTGTTTGAAAAAAGATTCTCCCGAGTAATGGGTACTGGATGATCACAAACTAGAGCAGACCAAATACTTCCGGTACCTAGGGCTTCTATTCCATCATTCTAAGTCCTGGAAACACCATTGGCAGACCGCCTGTCTAAAGGCGCAGGTAAGCAAACTAGCTATAATTCAATTCTTTTATACAAGGGGAGGTCATTATGTTCCATCAGCCATTAGGGTATTTAATGCAAAATCTGTCTACGCCCAAACATCTGGTTCAATGGCTCATTCTCCATGTTTGATGGGTTCCAGGCAAAGTTTCATCAGTCCCTTTTACAGGTTCCAAATGCAATCTATTTTTAGAAACAGGTGAATGCCCTCTCTCAACAAAAGCATGGTGGGCTGCCCTGAGATACTGGCTTAAGATCTCAGTCTTTGGCCTAGGGAAGGGGTTACTTCCACACCTAAACAACGAGGATGAAAACCATGGTCAGAAAAGCCACTTCGATTGGAATGCCACCTTCACCCTTGTACCATCTGGGATACGATACTGCCCTTGAATCTCTGAGGCAAAGGCTCTGGGACATTTCACATAGTGATCTCCGATCTCAACCTCATGTTATCTGTGGCCCGATAGCAGTAGGAATTCCTCACAGGTACAATTTTCAGATACCTGCATATCTTAAAAATCTGTCTGTACCAACATCAGCATCTTTTTACCAAAGCCAGATTAAATGTATTTCCATCAGAAGTGCTAAATGGCAGACTGAGAGGGATCCCTTATCAGAATAGGCTCTGTGTATGCTCTCAGGACGTCGATTGTATGAAGCATATCCTACTGCATTGCGGACAGTATGAGCAAGCTAGAGATCTATTGATTAAACCCCTACTGGCAAATCGCCCAGGTAAATCTGAAGCCTACTGTATTAAATATCTTCTGGATGACAAGTCTAATGATATCACAGTGGCTGTGGCAAAGTTTCTTTTGGCAGTCATAAGTATCAAAGATCATCATACTCAAGACTGAACAAATATCGTCTCGGTCTTCCTCTCCCAGGGGGTTGTCTGTATGAATCTGTATTTTATTCTGAATCTATGTTACGGGTCTTTGGAGCACAATAAAGATTCATATATTATATTACACGCAATGTGAGACATTAATAAAGTTAGGGGGGGAAGAAAGAGGTGGAGAGAGGGGGTAGTAAACATTGGTTCTTTTACACAGCATATGTGCAAGGTTTTTGTGTCAGCATCACATGGCTAGGTTCTCTTTTTATTCATTTTTAAGTTTTCATTGGCAGTGAGAGAGGTGGGGTGGCCCAGGCCATGATTGGTTGCCTTGTTGGCTGCAGTGAGTTTCGTTTGCGTGTGTGAGGGAAAAGGGTTGTTGGGTCAAGTCAGCCATATTGATTTGTACGCTGTCAGCCTTGAAGACAATAAAAGTTCAGGCTTATGAACTGCAGAGTAACCAGGACAGAACAGCCAAAATTTGTCTGAGTTTTGTGTGTGAAGAGGTTTTTCACACATACAAAAGAGGGAGGAATGACTGTGTGGTGACTGCTGCTATTGGAACAGGATTGGCCTTGTTTAAAAGTTAATACAAAATCACTAACATTTCTGTAACAGGTCCTAGGCAGTGAATGTTGTCAATCAGGGACAGGGTTCACAAATTAGAAAATGCACCCTGTTCTGGAAGAGGATTTTCCAGTACAAAATGAGGACTAAATTTGTTTGCTGCTAAAGGGCCTATTATTGCCCAGTCATCACTCACCAACAGCACTCCAGATTCACACTTTGCACATCCCTAAGAGTACATCATATCTTTCATTATACTTACTACTGGGAGAAGCTACCTTCATTACTGTAATACATGTGTATACAACTTTCCATAAAAAAACCAGAACACCAACAACACTCCATGCATTTACAATTGATATTATTGATTTGTTGATGTGAAGAACGAAGAAAACACTAGACACACTCTAAACATCTAAATGGGCTTTCCCCTGTGAGAGTATGTAGATGACCTTAACTGAAGCACAGTCCACACTCCTTCAGTTTACATGGTTTCTCCTCTATGAGCTTCTTGATGTTTTGTAAGTGCTCCACTCTCATTGAAGCACATCTCACACTCCATACATTTAAATGGTTTCTCCCCTGTGTGAGTTTGTTGATGTCTTATAAAATGTCCATTTTGACTAAAACTCTCTCCACACTCCAAACATTTAAACAGTTTCTTCCCAGTGTGAATTTGTTGATGTACTGTAAGTTTGCCCCTTTCTCTGAAACTCTTCCCACATTCCATACATTTAAATGGTTTCTCCCCTGTGTGAGTTCGTTGATGTCTTGTAAGAGCTCCACTCTCAATGAAGCACTTCCCACACTCCATACATTTAAATGGTTTCTCCCCTGTGTGAGTTCGCTGATGGATTCTAAAATGCCCACTTCGACTGAAACTCTTCCCACACTCCAAACATTTATATGGTTTCTCCCCTCTGTGTTTTCGTTGATGTACAGTAAGGCTTCCTCTACAAGTGAAGCTCTTTTCACACTCCAAACATTTAAAGGGTTTCTCCCCTGTGTGAGTGCGTAGGTGTATGATCAGTTGTGAACCTTTAGTGAAGCTCTTTTCACACTCCATGCATTTAAATGATTTCTCCCGTACATGAGTTTGTTGATGTACAGTAAGGATTCCATTCCGACTGAAGCACTTTCCACATACCAGACATCTGAATGGTTTCTCCCCTGTGTGAGTTCGTTGATGTACAGTAAGTTTTCCACTTTCACTGAAACTCTTTCCGCACTCCATACATTTAAAGGGTCTCTCCCCTGTGTGAATTCGTTGATGTACAGTAAGCTTCCCCCTTTCACTGAAGCTCTTTCCACACTCCATACATTTAAATGGTTTCTCCCCTGTATGAGTTAGTTGATGTTTTGTAAGTGCTCCACTATTACTGAAACACTTTCCACACTCCATACATTTAAAGGGTTTCTCTCCTGTGTGAGTTCGTTGATGTCTTGTAAGGTTTCCACTATTACTGAAGCTGTTTCCACAATGGATGCATTTAAAGGGTTTCTCCCCCGTGTGAGTTCGTTGATGTAAATTAAGATTTTCACAACAACTGAAGCTCTTCTCACACTCCACACATTTATATGGTTTTTCCCCCATATGAGTTCGTTGATGTACAATAAGGACTCCTTTCCGACTGAAGCTCTTTCCACACTCCATACATTTAAAGGGTTTATCTCCTGAGTGAATTCGAAGATGTATGATCAGTTGTGAACTTTCACTAAAACGCTTTCCACACTCCATACATTTAAATGGTTTCTCCCCTGCATGAATTAGTTGATGTTTTGTAAGTGCTCCACTACTACTGAGACTCTTTCCACACACCACACATCTAAATGGTTTCTCCCCTGTGTGAATTCGTTGGTGTACAGTAAGTTTTCCGCTTTCAATGAAGCGCTTTCCACATTCCATACATTTAAAAGGTTTCTCCCCTGTGTGAGTTCGCTGATGTATAGTAAGCTGTGAACTTGTACTGAAGCTCTTTCCACATTCCAAACATTTAAAGGGTTTCTCCCCTGTGTGAGTTCGTAGATGTATGGCAAATTGTGAACTTTCACTGAAGCTCTTTCCACACTCCATACATTTAAATGGTTTATCTGTTGTGTGAGTTAAGAGATGTTTTTTAAGTGCTCCCCTACTACTGAGGAACCTTCCACACACCGTACATTTAAATGGTTTCTCCCCTTTGTGAGTTAGTTGGTGTACAGTAAGGCTCCCACTGCAAGTGAAGCACTTTCCACACTCCATACATCTAAATGGTTTCTCCCCTGTGTGGGTTTGTTGATGTTCAGTAAGTTTTCCACTTACACTGAAGCTCTTTCCACACTCCATGCATCTAAATGGTTTCTCCCCTGTGTGAGTTCGTTGATGTATAGTAAGCTGTGAAGACTGACTGAAGCTCTTTCCACACTCCATACATTTAAAGGGTTTCTCTCCTGTGTGAGTTCGTTGGTGTATAGTAAGCTTTCCACTTACACTGAAGCTCTTCCCACACTCCATACATTTAAAGGGTTTCTCTCCTGTGTGAGTTCGTTGATGTACGGTAAGTTTTCCACTCTCACTGAAGCTCTTTCCACACTCCATACATTTAAATGGTTTCTCCCCAGTGTGAGTTCGTTGATGTATAGTAAGGTGTGAACACTGACTGAAGCTCTTCCCGCACTCCATACATCTAAATGGTTTCTCCCCGGTGTGAATTCGTTGATGTACAGTAAGTTTTCCTCTTTCACTGAAACTCTTTCCACACTCCATACATTTAAAGGGTTTCTCCCCTGCGTTAGTTTGTAGATGTGTGCTAAGGTGTTCACTCACACTGTAGTACTTTACAGATGGCCCCTCAAAATTCTGATTGCCTTCTCCATCACCTGGTTTAAAGTAGGAGAGAAAGAGAATATTGTTAGGATTTCAAGGAACAGAACAAGAGAACACACAGAACAAGAGAACTTAACACACAGCAACACCTCCAACAATCTCTCCTCTCCTATGTACCACATTTTTAGGAAAGCAAATAATCCCAGAAAATTATCTCTTAGTACAGGAGACACATGTTGCAAGTCGACACAGCAGATTATTAGTAAACAAGATATTTGTTGAAGAGTTTATAATCTCAGAAAAACTCAAAAGAGAAGTGTGGTAATGCATATAGAACATGGTTTGAACCCATAACAATTATTTAAATATGACCAAGGAAGAATTATCAGGATACAGGCAATTGCTGATGGAGAAAAAATGTTCTTGGTGAAAGTCTTTGCACCAAATGAGGGGAAAAACCAGGTATGTAAGGAGAAGTTATTTGATTATTTGGATAAGATTATAATAATGGGTGGGCAAGAGATATAGGTCATAATATGGAGATGAGTGCTTGGGAGAAATGTGGGAAAAGATTTTAGATTTACAGCATGTTGCACACCGAAGGAGAATTTTATGAAAATGATATATAGGTGGTATCTGACACCGAGTAAATTAGCTAAAATGTACAAGACTGAATCAGATATCTGCTGGAAATGTAAGGGGAAAGTAGTTACTTTTCATCATATGTGGTCGACATGCAAAATGGTTAAGAACTTCTGGGAAATGATATTTAATGAGCTGAAAAAAAATGTTTAAGAGGACCTTTGATAAAACCCCAGAAGCTTTTCTTTTAGGTATAATAGATGCAAGTATATCTAGGGATCACAGATCTCTTTTTATATATGCAACTACAGCAGCATGTATGGTGTATGCTCAGAAGTGGAAGGAGGATGCCAACGAAGGAGGAATGGCAGATGAATTAATAGAATGTATAGAAATGGGAAGATTGACAAATAGAATAAGAGATCAAGATAAAATAGTATTTGAAGAAGATTGGAAATGCTGGTGATCTGCAAGGCAGATTGCTTCAAAAATGGCAAAAAAAAATATTTCTAAATATACCTGGCAAGGGAAAAAAACAAGAATAAAATATAAAATACTGATAGAACTGAAAGATAGAGGAGGTTTCTCCCTGCCGGATATGATATTATGAAGCTTATCTGTGGTATTGAAATGGTGAAAGTACATAAAGGCTTTACAAACCATAGAATTAGGAAAAAAATGTATAGAATATGGGACTGATATAAAAATTTACTGGGAACTAAAACACCACTTTGGCTTTCACCTTTGGAAGCCATAGCGGAGAAAAAGAAAAATATGATGGAAAATTGGGCAACTTACAGAAATTTATTAAGAGAGGAGGAGAATTTAAATTAAAAGAGTTGAAGGATTTACCAGGAATGTTAACAACATGGTTACAATATCATCATTTGAATTAAATATTTTAAAATGATATGAAGCAGGTGTTTAGGGAACAACCATCACAATTAGAGAGAGACATGTTAAGTTGTAATGTTAAAGTGATGTCTAAAATGTACACCATGTTATTGGAATGGGAGACAAAGAATGAGCAAGTGAAATCTTCGATGATACACTGGGCAATAGATATTGGTCATAATATAGATATGGAAGCATGGTAAAGATTATGGAATACGAATATAAAATTTACAGCATGTTATGGTTTAAGAGAAAATTATATGAAAATGCTATATAGATGGCAGTTAACACCTAGTAGCTTGGCAAAAATGTATAAATTAAAGTCAAATAAATGTTGGAAATGTAAAGAGAAAGAAGGCACCTTTTGCACATGTGGTGGTCTTGTAATAAGGTTAAAGCTTACTGGGAAATGATACATAATGACTGAAAAAGATGTTTAAAATATCTTTCCTTTAAAAAACCCAGAAGCTTTTCTCTTGGGAATTATAGGATTAGAACTACCTAAACAGTATAGAAATTTATTTACGTATACGACTACAGCTGCAAGATTGTTATTTGTCCAAAAATGGAAGGATGAAGGGGTCCCAACGAAAGAAGATTGCATACAGAAACTAATGGAGTATGCAGAAATGGTGAAACTTATCAGAATAATAAGAAATCAAGATAACAAACCTTTTAGAAAGGAATGGAAATGGTTTATTGAGTATTCACAAACTGTAAACAGATGAAGACATTGGCAGGATTATTGTAAAAACCTGCAACTTAAAATATATACAGTGGTGCCTCGCAAGACGAAATTAATTCGTTCCGCAAGTTTTGTCGTCTTGCGAGTTTTTCGTCTTGCAAAGCACAGTTTCCCATAGGAATGCATTGAAAATCAATCAATGCGTTCCTAAGGAGACCGTCGGGGACAGAGGGGAAGCGCCGCGCACCTTCCCCTCTGTCCCCTCTTTTGAAGCAAGGGGCGGAGGGGAGAAGATCGCTTCTCCCCGTTGCTGCCCCTTGGTTCAAAAGGGGTCCGGGGAGAGAGGGGCAGGCGCGTGCGCCTTCCCCTCTGTCCCCTCTTTTGAAGCAAGGGGCGGAGGGGAGAAGATCGCTTCTCCCCGTTGCTGCCCCTTGGTTCAAAAGGGGTCCGGGGAGAGAGGGGAAGACGCGCGCGCTTTCCCCTCTGTCCCCTCTTTTGAAGCAAGGGGCGGAGGGGAGAAGATCGCTTCTCCCCGTTGCTGCCCCTTGGTTCAAAGGGGGTCCGGGGAGAAAGGGGAAGACGCGCGCGCGCTTTCCCCTCTGTCCCCTCTTTTGAAGCAAGGGGCGGAGGGGAGAAGATTGCTTCTCCGCCTTGCCGCCCCTTGCTTCAAAAGGGGTCCGGGGAGAAAGGGGAAGACGCGCGCGCCTTCCCCTCTGTCCCCTCTTTTGAAGCAAGGGGCGGAGGGGAGAAGATCGCTTCTCCGCCTTGCCGCCCCTTGCTTCAAAAGGGGTCCGGGGAGAAAGGGGAAGACGCGCGCGCCTTCCCCTCTGTCCCCTCTTTTGAAGCAAGGGGCGGAGGGGAGAAGATCGCTTCTCCGCGTTGCCGCCCCTTGCTTCAAAAGATGTCCGGGGACAGCGGGGAAGACGCCAGCATTTTAAAAAACCTCGGGACAGCGGGGGACTTCTCTGCTGTCCGGGGCGATTTTAAAATGCTGGCGGGCGGCAGCGCCGCCGCCCGCCAGCATTTTAAAATCGCCCCAGACAGCGGAGAAGTCCTCCGCTGTCCCGGGGTTTTAAAAAAACCTCTCCGCCCCCCCCCCCGCCAGGCTTCGGAGGAGGTCCGAGGACAGTGGGGAAGACGTGCTGCGCTTCCCAGCTGTCCCGGAGATTTCCCTATGGGCTTTCGTCTTGCGAAGGAAGCCCATAGGGAAATTCGTTTTGCGAAGCGTCTCCAAAACGGAAAACCCTTTCGTCTAGCGGGTTTTCCGTCTTGCGAGGCGTTCGTCTTGCGGGGCACCACTGTATATGAGAGATATATGAGAATAGAATAAGAATAAGTTAAGACAATTTGGAGTATGCAGGAAAGGAAGACAATAAATGTAAGGAACTGCATAAATCGAGATGGAAGGGAGTTGAAATTGAAAATGTTAAAACTAGGCAAAATAATTGTTGTAATGTATATAAATTAAAATTAAAAATAATTTTAAAAATGAAGATTGGAAATGCTTTGTAGATTATTTTGGAAACTTATTGTAAACACATTAAAAAGATAACAGTAAAAGAATGAATTCAGCAGTAAGAATACTGGGATATAAAACTGAGATAAAATAAGATATGGGGAAAATTAGAATATGTAGTGGAAAATAAATTAACAAAATGAACCATGGAAGGAGTTGAAGGCGAGTCAATATCAATTATGTGTTTTGCATTGGAAGCATTGTTCTTGTTTCAAGTGTAAAAATGAAAATGGTAAATAAGATTTAGATAGAGATAGATGATATAACTATGTAGATATATATGAAAACTGTCTCTTAGTATCCAGTTCCACCTTGAACTCCCATATAACACTGAGCACCGAGAAAAACCTTCTGTGCTGAGGTGGGGCACCTATAGTCTTCCAGATGTGGCTGAACTCAAACTAGCATCCACCCAGGCAGGAACGTCCAATGGCCAGGATGATAGGAGTTACGGTGGAGCAGCATCTGGAGGGACACACTTTCTCCACCTTCCCTCTCTTCTGAAAGTGCTAGATTTCTGCAGTCCATTTTCTCCTGCCTCCTCTAGGTAATGTCTTAGACCATGTCATTACCGAGGAGGCAGGTTCAGTCGTTGTTTGAATACTATTTCTGCCTCTGGGTCTGGTCTTGACCAGAAGGATATTGGAATCAGCAACGGAGACCCATATGACGTAAAGGTGCTGCTGTGCAATGCTAGGTCACTGATTAATAAGACCACTGCCATCTATGACTTGATCTGGCTTGAGACTTGGTTGGATGAAGCAGATTGGTCTGTGCTTGCTGCTGCTTGTCCACCAGGTTTCTCTTACACACAACAACCCAGGTCATACAGGTGGTGACGGGGGAGGGGGGGTTGCAGTGATTTTTTAGGCAGTCATTAGCTTACACCAGGCATCCTATTGGGAAGACCCAGTTTTCTGAGTGCATGTTCTGGAAGTTGGGCAATAGGGGCAGTACAGGATTCCTTTTGGTGTCCCAACCTCCCCACTGCACCAAGGATTCCCTGCCTGAGCTGCTTCAGGTCGTGGTGGATGTTCTTCTGGAGACACCTAGTTTGGTTGTCCTGGGGGATTTTAACATCCATGCCAACATGACCTTACATGGGGTCACTCAGGACTTTGTGGAAAGCATGGCCTCCATGGCCCCTGAATAAGTTTGGCCCAACTCATAGTCACAGACATGAATAAGTTTGGCCCAACTCATAGTCACAGACATGCCTTGGACCTGGTGTTCACCTCTAGTGATGTGGGTGATCTG